ATCATCACCAACGCCCCCTCCACCATCATCATAAACATAGTCGGTATGCCCGTCAACATCACGACCATCATTGTCAGCATTGTCACCAGTATCGTCAACGTCATCATCATCATCATCATCATCATCACGTGTATGTATATATATATATATATATATATATATATATCTATCTATATATATATATATATATATATATCCCCATATAGAGATTCGGTAGGCCTGGTTCTGCACGTCGTGTGGCGGGCCTACTGGGGGACGTTTGCCCATCCTCTCCAATGTAATACAATCCCAGAGAAAACCAGGTAAACAAAACAACGCTGCTACGATGGAGAGTCGAGATAGGGGTAACTTAGGGGTTCGTTCGGATTCCACTTCGAGCTTTGCAACGGGTTTCGACTGAAACTTGCGCAGCTTCGATTGCTTGAGCTCGCTTTTCGCTAACCTTCCACACGTGGATAATTGAAACCATGCCTACGGACATTCATCGTGAACTCTGGGTTGGGACCGCTGGGACGAGATGTCAACTTCCGTCCCTGTACGGATCCTGATCGTATGATACTTGTCCAGCTTTCCTGGGAACTATAAGGTTCACCCTTAAGAACTCATAGGGATCGTGATACCCCAACGTGGTGAAGCTGCCGCCTGCCAAGCTAGAACTGTATAACCTTTCTTTTTAAAAACCGTTCTTACCACTGCGGTACATGGAAAGACAGACTTTCAACTCTGTGCGTCTGTGACTTAAAGGAGATTCGGAAACCGTTGGGTTCTTTCTGCAGTATCCTTCATTCAAGGCTTGGCTGACTCGTCGTGCAACCGCTCTTAGACTAAGCAGTCGACCAGAGAGACGAGGGATCTGGCGGAGGTTTGGTCTCCGCGGCTTCAGAGTCACAGGAATCTACGGTTTAGGGTTCAGGGTTTAGGGTTTATGGTTTTAAGGATTACCTGGACCCCAAAAGTAATGCCCAACTCTCGCTCAAGAATGCTCAGACAATCTATTGCAGACCAAATTCCCAAAGCCAACGCTTTGAGTTCTCCCATTCCCTAAGGGTCCATGTACCCAAATAGTGTATACAATGGCCTTAAAGTATTCCATATTTGGGTACTTTGGGGCCAAAGTATATAGTATTTGGGGTACATGGACCCTTAGGGATTGGCTAAGTCAGCAAGGGTCGGGGCACATCTCCATCTTGTCTGGGTTTATTGCCGGGTCAATGACCTGCCATCCACCAAAGACAGAGAGATCGGTTGATGATAGAAACCCCGCATTTCCCATAATTATAAGGAATAGATGGGAATTATGGTATATTCCTTATTATGGGTCATGCAGGATTTATATCATCAACAGGATTTAGGGCCGTAACCCAAAGCCATACAGGGTACTTTATGGGCTGGAGCTTAAAGTTCGAGGCATCAAGCTTAGGAACTGCATTTGCAGGGCAAGCACAAGATGGACCCTGAGCCGTAAACACGGCACTGTAGGGGCCTTAATGATGACAACAGGTTGTTGTGGTATTTTCGGGTATAGTCAGCAGGAGGAGCCCTGAGGGATAGCATGACTACCTATTCCGACCCCTAAAATACCCCGAAGCCCGGCGATGTGCCCTACTTGTCGGCTATCATGGGGAACTAAAGGTTAGCCTTGTTGGTTAAATAGGGACTACAAAGTGACTATACAACCCAAAACAAGGTTAAAGGTTGCCTACTCTACTACTAGGTTGCCCACAAATGGGGGGGTTGTCAAAATTATGGTCCCTGTTTGGGTACCCAAAAAGGGACCATAGTTTTGACAACCGCCCATGTGGATTAGGATCGTAGCGATGAAGGGAACAGGGGCGAGGATATGCGATAATTTGTGGTCGGGGACAAATGCCGGTGCACACATTCTACTGGGGTTTCGGGTTTCAGGTGTAGGCCTGGATATACCAAGTCGTACTGATTCTGGGCCGGTGTGACCCAAGGAGGTCTGTAAAACCCCAAACCCCAAGGAACGGTCTAAACCCTGAAAGCCTCTTGCCCTAAGCCCAGCCGGAGGGACCACCCAAGCTCCGCCACGGAGCTCGCCGTGCTTGGGGATATAGATAAAGATAGGCTGCTCGTACCTCGAGGGCTTCGGACTTACGGCTTGGAGTTCGGGGTTCGGGCAGAGATGCTTGGGGCTTGGGGTTTAGTGGATCTCCATGGGCTTCGGGTTCAGGGCTCAGGGTTTAGGTGGTTTGGCATGGTTTTCGCGCTTGGGGCTCTGGGTTCTCCGAGGCTCGATTATTCCTTGCACCAGGAGCTCGAAAATCCCTGTCTGGTCTTACTGTAAAAGTTCCGGGTTGTCTGGGGCCGAGGGTTCAGGACTCTCCCGTACCTAAGGGATTGATTGCGTAGGTTTAGTGTCTACGGCTTGTGATAGACCTTGCAGGGAACCCTAAACCTTTAAATCCCGCAGCCCCAAACCAAAGTAAGTCACCTGAACTGGATCGTGAAATCCCCCGTTTTCCAAAACAGACATGAGAAAGAATGGTTCGAAAGATGGTGAGGTAGCGAGTCGGCCTCGAGGCTTTATGGTACAGGGGTTTAGGGTTTATAGGGTGTATGGGGTTTATAGAGTTCAAGATTTAGGGCTTATAGGGTTTAGGATTTAGGGCTATAGGGTTTAGGGTTCAGGTTGTTGAGGGCTTTGGGTTTAGGGTTTAGGAGTTCATGGTTTAGGGTTTCCTACTTATGCCAGCTGTAAGGTTGGTCTTACATGAACCCTGTGGGATGGTTCCTCCCCACATGGAGCTCCCTACGGCGACACCCATCTTGCAGGCTATCTACTTCACTTCTGAGCTATAAGTGCCCCCAAAACCCTAAACCCTAAACCCTAACTCGGAATCCCGATGTACAAGGAACCTATCTTCCTGCCGGCATTCAGGACTTCAAGAGCACAGGGATGTCAGGATCTGCCAGGCTTGGGGCCGGGAGCTTAGCTTCGGGTTTAGCCCTTAGGACCCAGTGCTTGGGCCTTCAGGGTTCAGGAATTCCATGGTTTAGGGTTTAGGGTTTAGGGTTTAGGGTTTAACTATAGTCTCCATTGTAGTTCCTTTTTTCGGGTTGCCTTTCTGGATCGTTAATGTAGAGTTGGTTACACCGAAAAAAGGAACTACAATGGAGACTATAGGTTGGTCTTAAATCACCTGAAACACCACCTCATCGGAAGGCTTCTACTACACTCTGTCTTTTTCGGCGGGGTCACTCGACCAGCGCATCTACAATCATAGCCTCAGCGCACGCTGACAAGCCGCACAAAGGAAACGCTGAATGCCACTCTGAACCCTAAAACCGTGCACAAGATGAGCTCAAAGCTTGCACGCAACGCAACTTCCAGAATCATGATCCTCGCATCCGAAAAACTCGAGAGGTCATGCACATCAACAGTCCTGGTCGGTGCTAACAGCTTTACCTTAAACTACCAAACCCTGCTTTTTTGTAGGTTCTTATTACAAACCCTAATAAGGACTTTATAGGGACCCTACAAAAAACTAGGTTTGGGTAGGTCAAGGTAAGTCACCCAACGCCCGGTCAGCTCCCGAAACTGCAACATCCCAGTGGTAGTTTCTATGTAATGTAATCCCTAGGGCTCCAAGTATACAAATAGTACCTACTTTGGGGTCTAAAGTCTATAAATACTACCTACTTTGGGCTTTTTGGAGCCCCTGGGAATGTAAAACTAACCTACCTGTCTGCCTGACTAAAGAAATGATAATGGCAATGCTCATGATAAAGTACAGTTGCCCACAAGCTGGGAGTAAAGCATGCCACGGCTGTAGATAGTAGAGGGAGTTCTCCAACCGCGCTGAGCGAAGGAGCAAAATCATACTTCAATCCCTACAAGCGTGGGGCCGCCCCCAATATGCACGAAAAAAAACAAAATTTCTCAACCCCTCGATTCCCAAACCTCAAGCCGTCATTAGGCGACGGTTTTGCGTCGGGGGTTTAGGGTCTGGGGCCCCCCTACAAACCTCCCCGGAAGCCCAAGCACCCGGTAGGAGAGCCCTCATGGTCCTTATGGTCCTTAATAGTATGTAGGTAAGAAGAATTCAATCTGGGGTAGCTGAGGGGTTTAGGGTTTAGGTTTGGGGTTCTATCTCAACCCCTGAACCCTAGGCATCAAAACCCTCAAACCCCGAATGCGCAGCCCTTGACCGCTCAAACCCTGTAACCTTAACCATCTGTGCACCAAAACACCTACGCTGGGTTCTTGTCAGTGGATTTAATCTATACTTTAAGTTACCATGATAAGGAAACCATATTCATTAATATTATATCCTTACCATGGTACCTTAAATTGAACTCCTAAAGAAGAACCCAGTAAATCCACAGCCCTTAACGTGAGCCCGGTAACACGCACTAAACGCAAAACCCACATCCAGCCGAAGCACGCCGAACTTGAGGATCTCGTTGTACATGTCGCCTCAGTTTCACTCCAGGACGAGTTGGCCGGTTGAAGATAAATATAACACCATGACGTTGAGAAGCAAATTTCGGTACGAATGTGTGAGTGTGTGTGTGTATACATCTACAAATGTCTTAGCTTGGCTAGTCCAAGGTACATTAGGGTCGGGTTTGCACAGCTAATTTCCTGGACATCAGAAGGGTTTAGGAGTTGCTTTATGTTTTCGCGAACCTGGGGTGAACGGAAAGAGCCAAATGTTTCTGAAGTTGTGCAAACTGCACATGTGCATCATTGGCGCTTATCGATTCCGGAATCGGGAAGTCTGCACCCTTCATGAAACCGTCTGGTATCAAAGATACACATAGTCATAGACTATGAAGCCGCCTGCAACTAGCGTGGCATTCGCCATAACGTGCCCGGAGAACTGCTTGCCAGCCATGGTCGCGCTAGATCTGAGCTACATCGAGAGAGGTTACTACATGCGAATGCAGAGTCTAAACTGCGCAGTGTTCCACAGGATGCCTGGCCTGGGCAAGGGCCATCCTACGCTCAGCTGTATTGCAAAAACTGGCTGATGAATAAAAATCATAACAACAACCACGCTTGTCTATTGCATTGTCCAAAGTTGCCAGAAGATCACAGAATGTCACAGACGTGGCTCGGCGACAGCGTTTCAGCACCAACCCGGCGTCTCAGAGAGTGGAGCTGTGTAACCCAACGAGGGTAATATAGGGGCCTTAATATAATTCCCAACAACACATCCCACTATAGAACCGTTACCCCAAGTCTCAAAATAACCCAAAAGCCTTATATAGTATGGTCTTTGGGCCCAAAAGCCTTAAAATATGAGTCCTGAGAGACTCATATTCTAAGGCTTTCGGGCCCAAAGACCATACTATATGAGGCATTTGGGCTATTTGAGCCTTAGGATTAAACACCCAAAGTAGATAAAATAATGGCCCAATACCTATTAAAGGCCATTATTCTACATACTTTGGGCGTCCAGGTAAACACCAAGAGGATCTTTGGATTTCTCCCGTGCGACCACAGCACGGGTACCGCCAGAGAAGCCTCGCCAGTTGGCGAAGATGATGACCTCGAGGTTAGAACTTAAACCCTGAAAAAATAAAAAAGCCTTCAAATTGTCAAACCGTAAAACCCCAAGCCCAAAAACCCAAAATCCGCAAACCCCTAAACCCTGCAGACCTGGACCCTAAAACCCGAAAAAGGCTCCTGTGCTACCCAAAAAATGCAATTGGGCCCCAGAGTACCCATATGTACTAGTAGTACTTGACGGCCACAGTCTATAATCCGCTTTAGGTATATACATCGGCACTTAGGCTTCTAGGTGTTTGGCATTTTCAAGCTTGACGTTGATAGGGTTTAAAGTTAAGGCCTTATACTACGCCCTTAGCCCATGCCCTGAGCGCGATGTCTTACTCCTTGAACCCTGAACGCGAGATCTGGAACACTATGTATGCGACGAGGGCCCAACACTGCAAACCTCAGCCCTAAAGCCCACAGAATCCAAACCGTTGAACCCTCGGGACAGATCGTCGTCTTTCGTTGGGAACGGCCTCAAGAGACCCCCGGCCTGGCTCCTCAAACAAAACAGGGATGAAAAAATCTGACGCGCACAAACAGCAAACCTGCAAGGCACACCTAAGGAAAACATAGGGACCAGAACAGAGAAGAGGAAGGGCAGCGAGGGAGAGAGGAAGAGACAAAGGAGGACGAGGGAAGAAGGGAAGAGAGGGAAGCGGGAGAGGAGAAACCCTCAGGCCATCAGAAAACATGAACTGAACCCTGGCGCATGCACTGAACACTCACTCTTTCAACAAGCACTTGCACTGAGCAGTGAAAGCTGCGACGCGAGACGGCTATTCACCGACGCGGAGCGAAAGAGTTAAAAGAAGAGACCAGCGCACTAGACCCGGACAGAAACGTACTAGACCATGAACATGGATTGCGTACCTTCATAAAAACAGCAAGAGAACAACACCGGATCAACATGCAAGGACTCTGGGAAAACAATCGGACGATGAGAGCAGATGCATCACCGAGCGCGCCTACGGTCATGGCTACGGCCCCGCTCCCTACCACCGCCCTGGCCCCTGCCGTTCCCCGAGCCACGACCCCGGCCACCGCCTTTGCTTCCACCCTTGGTGGAGGACAACCCAGCCGCCTCCGATCGAGCCCGCTTCCTCCGCATCTCCCCTTGACTGCGTGGCACCCAAAGCTGGGGTCCATTAGGATCACCACCAGCTTCCTTCATCTTGGGGGCAACTGTGGACCGGATGAGGTGATTGATCCTAAGAGCTTGCAGCCCACACTTCAACCGCACATCAAAAATGTGGGTTTCCCCCCACTTGCCCCCGATCGGGTACACTCCGGAAATTCCATCTTTGAAAAAACCAACGTCCCACTCAGTCTTCACGTGTTCGAGAGCATCAGCAGGAAGGACACGAGATAGCCCAGGAGATACGGCCTCCCACATCAACTGGCCGACGCACTCTTTCAAAGTCCAGAATTCCCGGGTGCCGGCATCAATCTCCCTGGCACGATTGACCAAAGCTGGGATCCCTTTGGCCCGCACTCGGGTTAAGGTATCCCACTCGGAAACCCGATCTTCGAGGAACTCCAGGCGAGCATCTACGTTATCAGCGGCCGGCATGGCTGGTGCTGGGGGAGCGCGTGCGCAAGCGAAGGAGTCAGTGGGCAGAGAGCCAAAACTCTGCATTGGGGGAGACTAGCTACCACAGGACCAGTACTTATTCAAAACAAAAGAAAAAGATTTGCCACTTACCTTGTCTGTAACAGCAGTCCGGGGCATGCAATCAAGTCCTCTGCCACCAGATGCCAAGCTTTGTCAAGAGCCTGCGCCACCAGCAGACAAGGCGAAAACCGGAACATTTAACCGAGGTTTCAGCAGACCATGCGGAGCCCGAGACCAAAACGGAGGACAGAAGAAAAAGGAAACATGGACAGACAGAGACAACAAAAGAACGTACGACTACCAAATCCAGACCGACAGCACCCCGCCACCCCACCCACCGTACTAACAACGAGACACCCCACCCACGACCCCGCCAAACGAGACCGTAAAAAACCGACGAAACGAAACATCCTCCGAGACGGGTCGGTGCAAGCACCCGGTGGTCTCCTGCAAGCAGGACCTCCGCCACGATGGGACCACGTCAAGGGGCTAAGCGGGTGGGGGTCCTTGCAAGCAAGTCCTCTCGCACCCTCAACAAGAAATCACCACTGCGACTTACCTTACCTTCCACAGCGACGTTCATGAGCAATGCGACTCCCGATTTGCCCACAAATTTTACCACAAACGGAACAAGTGCGGTTTGCGACCTCAGATCCACGACACTCTTCTTCATGCTTGACCCTGGCATCCACCGTTTGAAACGAACACTTACACATATGGCATTCACGATTAGCCTTAACCGACCCTCTGCACTGGGATTCATGGCTCTGCTGTTTGGCCACAGCGAATGCAGATTTGCACCGGGGGCAACGCCAGGTGGTGAGAAGGGAAGGTGCATCATCAGGCCGACTAGAACACGATCCACGATGCTTGAAAATCGTTTCGTCCGTGACCCCCAGAGGAAACTGTTCTTCACAAAACGGGCAAGTCCTTGTCAACTCGTCTGAACCACGGCAAATCCTCTCGTGCATACTCCTTATTTCTCGCGCATGATGGGTGTGTTTACCGGGCTGGAGAACAGCGTGCTTCCACTCAAAAACTTTACCACAAAGATGTCGACACGGAATGTTGGCAGGAGCCGCAGCCTCCACCTTACAATGTGCCTCGTGACCTGCTAACTGACGCGCATACGACTCCCCCGAAAAAACTCGTTTACAACGCCAACAATGATCCACGAGCAAGGGGTCCAACGGTGGGGGTGCACAAACGGGGAGCAGCCATCGTAGGGATTGTTTGGTTTGCTGTCCTCGCGCACCCAGACCGGCAAGTTCGTCCGCCTTGTCGTTGCCAACATTTCCCGAATGACCTTTAACATAGGAAAACTGCACTAGTCTCACCGCCGCCACTCTTGCAAAAACGGTTCGAGCGTACCTAACTAAGTCAGAGTTTTCAACTGGCTCACCAGTTCCAGTGATGGCATTGAAGGCATAGGAGGAATCGTAGAAGATGGTAGCGGGCAAATCACTGGGGCCCGGGGCCTCGGATTCCAACCACAGGAGCGCCTCTACCATGGCACTAAGTTCTCCAACATTGTTCGTTGCCACTATCGCACCCATAAAACGCTTGTCGTGGGGGGAAAGACAGACCGGGCCGAAAAGTTCAAAACTGGGTTCGAGCGAAGCAGAAGCCTCCCAAATGGCCACTCCCCAACCTGCAAAAGGAGCTCCCGGACTGGGACCTGCTCCATCCGTGAACAAACGCCAACTGGTAAATTCAGCAGGTGGGTCTGCTGAAGGGGCCTGGAGGACAGGGTAGGATTGCATTTTGGCAAGGTCATCCAAGGTGTGTGGTTTGGCAGGGCATCTGTGCTTTGATTGATGACGACCATATACGAAAACTTGTCCACACAGGGGACATTTGGAAACGCTAACAGTGGTGAGAGCTTCATTTTGGACAGCGTGCGTCCCATCATAGTGTACTTGCAATTCCCTAGCATTGTCGGCGACGAAGGAGCAAGCTGGACACTGTAGCTCCACCGGGGCTTGGGGGGGGGGAGACCCCTGGGGGGGCGCCAGGTTTGACCATTGTAAAACGGGGTCACCGACCTTCCATCCATCAAGGATTACACACTGTTTGCTGGACAGACGAGTGCGGGGCAGAGCCTGGTTGATCAACCTAATCCAATTCTTGGTCGGTTTCTGTGCTAATCTAAACCAGTCCATAACCGAGATGTTGTATTTGGACAGCAGCCATTGTACCCAACTTGGGAAGGTGTAGCGAGCCGAGCGATGCTCTTCCAATCCCTCCATCCACCCGAAAACCGCCATCTTGGGAAGACGATCACAATTCATCCTGGCGACATGCCCCAACCAAAGTAGAATACTTCTGTGCATTAGTGTAGTGAAGGAATTCCACTGCACCATCTGTCGCAATGCCTCGTCCGAGTAACCATACTCACGCATGTTATACCTGTCCACACCCAAACAACGACGGATGCCCCGAGCCATGACTTGATTAGCTTTCCGCTCCTGTGCCAAACTCCACACCCTAGATTTGCCGCAAGCCAGCAACGTACCCTCAACGACCGCACGCATAACACGAAGCCTTTTGGTAGTATGAAGACCCATGCCAGCTCCCCTGCCGTGACTTGTACCCAGAGACCAATACTTAGCCACCCGCTTAACAGCATAGAAACCAGCCTGTACACGTTTTTTGGTTTCTGCCCACTGGTCAGCATTGTCACAGTGAGTGGCGCCCAAGTGTTTGAGGGTCTTAGCTTCAAACTCATTCAAAACTTCCCAAATTAATCTCCCACCAGGAACCAGCATGAGCTTCTCCCGTTTACCCCGATGTTCCTCCTGCTCCCAATCACGCAATGTTTGCACAAACAACTGTTCCGCCACTCGGAGCTCCTCCACCCATCCCAACAAGGCAGTATCATCGGCAAATTCCACGTCCCCAACGACACTGGACTTGACACCCCGAGAGGAATGACGTGCATGGCCTGATCTGACCAGTTTCCCATCAACCTTGTATGACCAGGTAATGCCAGGTGTCCCTCCAGACGACTCCGCGGCACGAGCCCGACGACCTCTAAAGGTTAGCATGATAGCATGATGAAAAATGGAAAACAACACAGGAGATGAAGGACATCCCTCACGCAGACCTCGCTCCGTGAGCCAGGCGGTAGAGTAACCATTATGCACAAACGCCCTGAAGGAAGTGTGGTTGTGTAATGCTTTAAGCACTTTCAAAAAAGAGTCCGGAATGCCGAGACGGGAAAGCAGATGCCAGAGAGCTACTCGACAGACACGCGTATAAGCACGGACAATATCAAAACATGTCATTCCCACACACGCAGACTTGGCAGAGACCGAGACCTCCTCAAGCAGCCGACGAACAAACTGTTGCACATCATCAATGCCCCGACCGGGGCGAAAACCATTTTGTTCTTCCGGCATCCATGTTTCCAGCCACTTGCTCAGACGGCTGGCAGCAATGCGGGCCACAATTTTGGCTGAAACTGAGAGCATGACCAGATTCCTATAATTGTTTTTGTCATCTTTGGACCCTTTGTTTTTGTACATTGGGATGCACACGCCGTCCTTGGAGGACTGACACCACTTGTCAGCCTCGTGTCCGTTATCCGAGAGCCTAGCATCATTCCACATATCAAGGACCACCAGAAAAACCGTGTCTTGAAGATCAGAGTTCGCAAACTTAATCATCTCCACCGTGATGTCATCTGCCCCACCGCGTTTGCCCACCTTCATTTTGCGCAGCGCGTCACGAAACTCTTGCCTAGTAGGCTCCTCCCCTAAAACGGAAATTTCTGCCGTGGCGGGTGGAATGAAATCCCAGACCTCTTCAGAAACTTCGCCCTCACCTGACTGGATGTTGTGCAGAAAATCCTTCCAGGCCTCCCTTTCCCTGACAGCATCACCGCAAGTGCGCAACGAACCGCCATATGCACGACATGACTCCCTGAAGCCCAACTGACGACACACCTGCCAAAAGGCATAGTCATCCCCCTCCTCCCCCGCACGATTGGCCCTAACCGCCAGATCGCTCCACCAACAGGCTTCCCACCGGCGCTTGGCGCTGCGGAGGTCAGCACTGAAACGACGACGAATGTCCAGAAGAGAATCTACCTGTGAAGATCCCTGTCGACGAGCCTCCCGAAGGTTTTCCTCAGCGACATGGACAGCAGTTTCCAGCTCGAGCAGCTCCGATTCTTTACCCTGCAACCAAGGTTTTCTGTGCCGTGGGGGGGTGGGACCAACGACCTGGAACGCAGACTTCCTCATGACCTCGGCCACCAAGTCCCAATCCAAAAACTGGCCTGAAACCCTTTCCAACTCCTCGGAAACAACATTGGCATACTCACGCCGCAGAGCCGCAGCTTCCTCCGAACATCCCAGGAAACGCAAAACATCCGGTCGAGGGGCCCGCTCTCTCCTACGCTGTGCTTCCCCAGCCCAATCTTTCCCAACCCGAATAATAAGCTCCACCGGATCATGGTCCGTATGCTCAAGCCAGGGGGCAGACGAGAACTTGCGCGGACGACCTTGCCTCGATGTCTTGCTACAACGCTGGTTGGCAGCAAAATGCACAGTAAAGACCGACTTGATCCATTTCTTGTCAACACCACGGACCAGAAAGTGATCAAGTGTGTGGGCGGTGCCAAACCGATTGTGGTACCAAGTAGCTTTATGGCGTTGGGGTGTGAAGGAGCCTGCTACCACAAGGTGTTCCTGTTCACAAAACTGCAGCAACTCCTCCCCGCCACGCGTGCGCCTATCGTCCCCATACGGTCCCAAAACGTGACGCCAAGACGAGTCTTTGGTAGGCCCCACTTCACCGTTGAAATCCCCACCAACCACGAGCCGACGCCGACTGGACGAGTGGTCAAGGATCAAACTCAACTGTTCCCTAAAAGCCTCCCTTTCCTCCAACTGCGTTTTCGATACCAGCGGGGCGTATACCGGGACCAAGAGAAAGCCTGGCTTCCAACCTGAGCCCGGGATAGACACTCCGAACGCCCTGGGATTACCCGACCACCCACGCCCCTTAACCAAGACCGAACCCCCTTGCCTCCACCTGGCGGCCAAGAAAGGGTTAAGCGCTACACCTACCCGGCCCTCGTGGATAAGGAGCCAGGAGGCACCACCCACCATAACCTCACGAAACCCATCTTCTGGAAAACGTAAATCAGTGAGGAGCGCACAGCTCCACTGTCGCTCTGCGACCAGACGCATGATTGCCTCCACCTTGCCGGCAGGATCTTTTCCCTGAGGGGCGCCCAAACCCCTCGTGTTCCACGTACCGATGGTCAGATGGCCCTGTTTACGCACACCCCAGACGGACGAAGCCCTAAAGCAGGCGAGTTTCCTTTTATGCTTCCTGGCCACAAGTGCTTTCTTTGAACGCCGCAACCGTTTGTGAAAGTTCCTACGCTGGCACCGAGTCAAACAGGATGGAGGAGGGTCCAATGTAGCCGCCTTACGCTTCGGAATCTGGGAGAGAGCCCAAGAGCCGGTGCATTGTTTCGCCTGTTCAACTAATCCATGTAACTGATTTTCAATGACATCCGCATGCTCCCACAGGACAGTTTCGATCTGATCGCTGAGCCACGACGGACCAAACTCAATAAGCTGTTCCCAAACAGCATCAGGCTGTAGACTCACCCACTCGGTACCAATAGACTCTTCCGCGAGCTGGCGTAACCAGCGACAAAATCCGACACGACCGCCCCGCGATGAAATCCACTGCCCCAACGAACGATGAAGACTCGGACTCCCCACTGGCGTGGAATTGACAAAGGAAAAGAAAGGGAACTGGGCCCCTGCCAAACAACCACCGGGAAAAAGGTTCGAAACACCCTGCCGCTGACCAGAGGGGGGAGAGACGAGTGCAGGAGACGAGGAGGAAGGAGGGGGAGGAACCGGAGAAGGAAGAGAAAGGAAAGGAAACTGGGATCCCATGACAAACAAACCGGAGCCAGGCAAACTTGGTGTTGGAAAAGTGGCGTCAGAGCTGACAGAGCCAGACAACTGTGGACCACAAGAAAAAGACAACATGGAACAACAGCCCCCAGGCTGGTCAGACCCAGGGCTGACAACCTCAGGACCACCAGTGGTTCGGGAGAGGGGACACAAGGTCCCCCAACGGTCCACCCCACTTTGGTCACAAGATGCCAAACTGGAAATGTCCAGAGCATTAGCTGAGGTTTGGCGCTGCCGCGCAGAAAGCTGACTGTCAGAAACATGATACAACTGCGCACTCTCCGCTGAGAGTGTGGCTCGGTCCCCGACAGACACCACTGTCATAACATCAACACGCACTGGGGAGATCCCCGGACCGCCGAGTTGCTGACATAAAGAAACCCTGCGCACCTTTCAAACTCAACGAGGAGGCTCGCGCCGTGGTCCGGTCGGGACAGATCGGCGAACATCAGACCGAAACAAAAGCTGAAATATGCTGGATCAAGCATAAAGCCTGACTCCTTGGCCGAAACACCAACACTCCTGCTACTCCTTCTCCCGCGACGGCTACTGCTACTGCTTCTGCTCTGCTCCCGCTCTCGTACCCCAGGTCGTGCCAGCCATGTATGTATGGCTCATGTATTTGCCAGCCATGCCCTATATCTCTGCCTTCGGTTCGTTGCAACTTGGGTGCTTGAGCTTGGGACTGTTAGTCCTCCTCCCACTTGTCCCTGTGCCCACTTCTTCGCGGGTCAGTTGAAGTGCAACATCCGCCGCACTGGAAGCGACATGTCTTCAAGCCCCTGGTAGGCAGCCTGTCCGATGGCCTGCAGAGTCCTCTGGAAGGCCAGCGATCCTGCTCGGGGCACCCGCTTTGCCATCGATTGCCACGACTGCAGGGCCTGGTGTTCAGTGGCCGCTGGGTGCGCAGCAGGCGCTCCGCTCAAGCCATGTGGAGCCGGCGACGATCCCCCCAACCAGGTTGCATAGCTGTGGCAATCATGCCGGGCGAGGTACTAGTCACTAGTCACTAATGGGCGCCGAACCACCGCGCGTGCTCTTCCTTAAATTGCCATGAGCATACATCTTTTTAGATAAGGACTAAGACTCAAGATTAAAAACAACTGGCCCCTGAACCCTCAGGAACCCTAATTACAATCCTACCATGCTGGGGCCTATCCACTCAATAACTTTCGGATGAAGGTCCTTGAATAACTATAGGGGCTAATCAACGTCGTGCCCCCTAAACCCTCAACCCTAAACCCTAAACCCTAACCCGGGGCCCCGGGGCTTCCCTGAGGCTCTATGAACCCACATAGTGTATGCTTAGGCCTTAAAGTGGCTCTTGTATAGGTACTTTAGGGCCAAAGTAAAAGCCGTCTGGGCATACGGAGCTTTAGGGGTTTAGGGTTCAAGGGTTTTGCGTAACCCCTGCACTATACCTGGAGTTTTAGAGTTTTGGGACCGCAACCCACATCTGCGTGTAGTATAGGGGCCTTAATAATTGGAATAGGCTTTTGGGGTTCCTTGGTGGGGTTCCTTGTTATGATTATGGAATCATATACCCCAAAACCCAATTAGAATTATTTAAGTCTCGTACAGTACACGAAATTCGTCATCTGTTACCAGGTGCACTGCTGGAAGATTCTCACCGCGGTTGAAATCCTGCACACCACTGCAGTCACTGGGATGCCGATGTCGATTTTGGCTTGGGGTTTACAAATAGGGTCCCTTTTTGGCTCCCCTAAATATTAGGTGCCGTATTATATCAAGGACCCAAAAAGGGATCACAATTTTGACAACCACCCACATGGCCCATGTAGCATTACAGCAGAAGCCCGGAGAGTTGGAACATCCTTCTCCTCGTGCCCTTAAGGCTAAAGTCTAAGCGATCGACGGCACTAATCCTCCTAGGCCCATGCTCCAACTTCGTGGGATTCGCTGTAGGGTTTGCCTATGATCTCCACTGTGGTTCTTTCTCTTAGGGTAACCGTTTTTTCACTTAGGACCCTATAAGGTAAGCCAGAAAGGACTTGCAATGTAGACTATAGGTAAGGTTTAGGATTGAGGGTGTTTGGTTTATAGGGTGCAATACGTACAGAGGACAGGATTTGAGGCTCGTGCTGGCAGCATGGCTGCTTCCCCTCACACTTCAAAGGGGAAAAGGAGGGACCCTTAATGGGGACCCCTACCCTACAATGGGCTACATAATGGGTATATAATAGCTATATATTAAGGGTATATACCTAGGGGTCCTTATTAAGGTTCCACCCTTGGATTTTATGTGGGCTTCAATCGTTTGTATAGCACTTGCCCTGCGACCCAAACTCTAAACCAGAGTCTTATTCGGCGTAACAGGGCTTCGGGATTTTTGGACCGTCCTGGCACTCTTTCAACCTACTCCAACCTGAAACCGCAAAAGCCTAAGCCTTTGTGAAGTCTGTGTGAATGCCCTCGAGAATCACAAGGCTGAGCCCTTCCAGAACCGAACCCTTCAGGGAACACCACCTGACGGGCAGAATTAACAGAACCCTTTAGAAACGAACCCTTAAACCAAAAAACGGAAGCCATGGCGTGAAGGCCAAGAACCGCGAATCAACCGATTCATCAGACCTCCCGACTCGCGAGTCTGGGGCTCCGAAAAGCCCAAAGTAGGTAGTACCTATAGTCTCCATTGTAATTCCTTTTTTTGGTTAACCAAAAAAGGAACTACAATGGAGACTATAGGTATTTACAGACTTTAAACCCCAAGTAGGTACTTTGTATACTTGGAGCCCTAGGGGTTCGTCGAATTTCAGGAGTAGCTCAATAGCATGAGTCTTAGGGCTTGGATGTTACTATAAGGTGCAATTACAACGAAGCTAGATGGGGCTGTAAGAAGATACTGCTGATGGACAAAATCCTGCATTACCCGTTGTAAGGAATATACCATAGCTCCCATAGTTTAGGGTCCTTAAGGTCATGCAGGATATTGTCCATCAGCAGTGACACTACAACTTATTCCGATTCCGAGATCAGACCCTCACTGGAAAGTCCTTTCTTGGGCAACTGGTTTCCTTACGAAGGGCTCGTAAGCCTGCCGTGAACTATCAAACATCATACCTTTTTGTGTAGAGTTCCTTGCAAATTTCATACTGCGGTTTACAATGAGAAGCTACAAACAAGTAGGCTATGAGAAATTAAGGCAGACCCCGAGCCCTGAACTCAAACCCATGAATCTGGCACCCATAGGAGCCAAACTTTCACCCTGCCCTCGAAATGGTCGATGAACCAGGAGTCTTCAATATACTAACCTCTACAAGCTTTAAGGCATACAAACAAACCATGGATCAACATTGGGTACGGCCCCACTCAGTAATAGCTGAATGGTATATTCCTTGTATAGATATATTGGGACCGTAATAGTAGCCCTATTAGAGACTCTTACTGTCTTGATCAAAGCTACAAAGAATTCCTCTTTCACCAGAACAGCAGGAGCCTGTAAGAACGGATGACGTAATGTCAGATCCCGAAACCCTATATAACCTTACACCAAAAAGCAGACCTCAATGCCAACCCCTGCAGTAGTTGGAACATCATTAGCCTCATGCCCTTAAAGCATAGCATAGGGAATCCCAGCATGAATCATCCTCAATCTAAGTTCCAACTTTCTAGGGTTCACTATAATCCTCAACCTTGAACCTTGAACCTAATGTCTGACCTGCAAACACCCCTGGGCCGGGAGTGTCCTTCAGCGCCTGTGCCGTCTTGAAGGCACTGTCTGGGAACCAAACCTCACAGGTTGTGAACCACATCGAATGTACCTATAGTCTCCATTGTAGTTCCTTTTTCTGGTTTAACCAATGTTATATTAAGGATCCTAAAAGGTAACCTTAAAAAGGAACTACAATGGAGACTATAGGTAGGGCCCCTGATCCATAAACCCGCCTGAACCTACGACTTATAGGCCCTTGAAGTCAGCCCTGAACCTAAGCCCGAGTACTCCGAAGCTATCTACTAGACCCAAGAGTAAGCTAGGAACAAAAAGCGTGCCCTTTTTGGTTGAAAGGTGCTTATAAGGGAACATGATCCCTAAGATAGGGGAATAAGGGCCTAATTACTCTGGGTCCTAGTCTATCCTCAACTCTACATTCTCATGTCAAGACCCAAACCCCTCATGCCTACACGTCACCCAAGAGCCTCTCCGCAAAGTC